CGTTTGAAAACTAAAAATTTTAAAATTAAAATATTTATATTTTATCAGAAATATAAATATATATAAAACACAAAAACAAAATAAAATAGTGAAACAAAAATTTATTTTATTTGTATTAATAATATAGTTATATTATTATTTATATTATATATTATTTATTATTATATATTAATATTTGATTATTGATTTTCTGTTTAATTATTAAAATTTTAAATAACAATAGTTTTAATTATAATTTTTATTATTTCTTAAATTATTTTTATTATTTGATAATAATTTTTTAATTTATATTCTTATTTTTAATTTATATTCTTTTAGGATGTTTCACATGTTGTATGGAATCTGGTCTTAGAGTATACAATGTAGAACCATTAGTGGAAAAAGCTCATTTGGAAAATGATATAATGGGAAGTATAGCTATTGCAGAAATGCTTTGGAGAACAAACATCATTGCTATAGTAGGTGGTGGTACAAGACCAAAGTTTGCAGAAAATACAGTACTTATTTATGATGATTTATCTAAAAAATTTATAATGGAAGTTACATTTACCAGTCCTATTAAAGCTATACGATTACGTAGAGATAAGTAAGTTCATTAATGATATCAATTTCTATTTTAGTTAATATAATAGTCAATATAAATATTTCATTTATGTAAGAATAATTTTACAAAACAGAATGATAGTAGCACTTCAACGAGAAATACATGTTTTCTCATTTCCTATGCCTACACGAAGATTATTGACTTTAGAAACCAGAGATAATCCAATGGGATTAATTGAAGTTGCTACATTAGCTACTGCACAAAAACAACTTCTTGCTTTCCCTGGCCATAAACAGGGTAGTGTACAATTAATTGATCTTGGTGCTACAGAAGCAGGAAGTTCTAGTGCTCCTGCAACTCTTGCAGCACATCAAGTATGTTTTATAAGATATGTTATATATAAGATAAATAAAAACTTAAATAATTTTATAAAGATTTTATAATTAATTATAATTAATTATAAAGATAATTTTTATAAAGTTTACATAAAGACTTAAATAATTAAATGACTAAATATGGATTACTATGATTTAATATTTCTTTCTATGTATAAACATTTTTTTTTATATATATTATTAGGGTGCATTAGCTTGTCTTGCAGTTAATAGTAGTGGAACAATGATAGCAACTGCTTCCACTCAAGGTACATTAGTTAGAGTATGGGATAGCATACGTAGACACTTGTTAGTGGAATTGAGAAGAGGTGCTGATCCTGCAACACTTTATTGGTAAATATTATTATATACATATATATTATATATAATATTAAATATTATTATATATGTTTTATATA